TTTAACTGGACTGAAAATTGTCAACATGCTTTTGACACTTTCAAAAATGCTCTCATCTCTGCTCCCATTCTTTCTTATTCTGACCCTCAAAAACTTTTGTTCTCACTTGTGATGCCTCTGACACAGCCATTGGGTACTACCTAAGTCAAATTTCACCAGAAGGCAAAGAACAAGTCATTGCGTATGGAGGAAAAGCATTGCCCAGTGAGGAGAAGAAATACAACACCTCAGAGAAAGAGCTGCTAGCCGTTGTCAAAGGAGCTCAAGCTTATCGTCCTTATCTAGTTGGTTCAAAATTAACCATCTACACCGACCATAGAGCCCTTGTATGGTTAAAATCAGCCAAACACACCGGAAGACTGGAACGATGGGCACTCAAGTTGCAAGAATATGATTTTGAAATTGTACATAGAGCCGGTAAAAGTAACTTTGTTGCAGATGCCCTTAGCAGATTGCCATATCCAGATGCAGAAAAGCCCCAAGAAATGGAACAACACAGTGAAGTTCACACTGATGCAATCCCAAATGCACAGGTAAGTGCCTTACAGACAGAAAATGACACCAAAGATGTCCAAAGTATCCAAATCAACCTATTCTATGACCCAGATGAAACAGAAGTCACCGTAATTCAACAGGACCAATTACAGCCAATAATTGAAGACAACGTCAAACTGCTCACTATGCAAAGACAATGTGATGATTTCAAGGACATCATCAATTACCTAGAAAACAACACTCTTCCTGATGAGAAAAAGAAACAAGATGTCATTGTAGCTGAGTCAAAACATTATTCATTGGCAAATGGTATTTTAGTCCATTTATTTCAGAGACGCTGCAAAAGACAAATTGAGGAAGATCGCTACATCACGCAGATTGCTCTACCAAAACTTTTACGCCTTGATGCACTCAAACAATATCATGACAGCCTAGCAGGTGGAGGTCACCTTGGTATAGAAAAAGTCCGTGCTTCCATCATACAAAAATATTTTTGGCCACGCATGCATCAAGACATTGTTGATTACGTCAAGTCATGCACTAGATGTCAACTGGCAAAGAGGAATTTTAACCCAACAAAGCCACCCATGAATCCTATGCCATCCAAAGAGAGATTTGAATGCTGGCAAATCGACATTTTAGGTCCACTCCACAAAAGCCCAGAGGGATATGAGTACATTTTACTTTGTATTGATGCTGGAACTAGATGGCCTGAAGCTTTCCCACTTCGTACGCAAAATGCAAAGGAAGTAGCTACAGTCCTCTTTGATAACATAATAGCTCGCTATGGTGCCCCCTCTGTTCTTTTCTCTGATCGTGGTAGAAACTTCATGTCTAAAGTCATCAACGCTCTATGTGAAATATTTGACATCTCGCAATACCACACTAGTGCTTATCAAAATACAAACGGTTTGGTAGAAAGACAAAACAGTGTCATTGCACAGTCACTGCGAGCATACTGTGACAAAGATCAACAACTGTGGCCAACCTTTTTATCAGGAATCATGATGTCATTTAGAAAGTCAGTCTCAGCAAGTTCTACAGAATACTCCCCTTTCTTCATGATGTTTGGTCAGGAAATGAGACTTCCATTTGATGTGGAACTTCAGCCAAAAGATAACATGGGTTTACATGGAAAACAATTCATGCAACAGTTTATGTCCAACCTTAAAATCTACCATAAAATAGCAAAAGAAAATGAAATGTACCATCAACAAAAGAACAAAGAAAGGTATGACAGAACAGCCAAAGTTCCAGATTTCAGACTAGGTGACCGTGTTCTTATGTCAATACATCAGATTCCCAAAGGATTTTCAGCCAAACTGTTTGACAAAGCAAGAGGTCCGTACAGGTTTACTCGTCTAGGTCCGAACTTTACATATGAGTTGTGTAGGATATCTGACAACAAACCACATCCATCGTTAGTCAATGCCATTCACCTGAAACACTACCATGACCCAGATGAACTTAGAGCACACCTTCTTCCTGAAAACATTCAAACAGCTGACCAGCTACATGACAATACTCAACCCACAGAAGGTAATGAAGATCAAGAAGCACCAAACAACCAAAATCAAGCTGAACATAACCAGTTAGATTTTGGTTGTAAGTCGTAAAAGTAATTCCTGGGCTAAATCCGTTTTAGAGGGTAAACGGGGAAGAAGGAATGTTGGCGGGTAGAACGAAGTAGTGGCGCTGTGGGCCGTAATAAAACGTAAAGGGTAAAGGTGCCGTATTCCTTATGGTCTTCCGATATATAAAGTCCAAGAATTGGTAAATCAGGTTTCCAAATTTATTAAAGACGATGGTAAATAACAAACATGGATTTTAACAATATTTTACGAGACTTAATCGAGTTGGATGTGTCCGGTAGAGCGTCGGGCCTCCAAACTGAAGAGATTATAATGGACATAGATATTTGTAAGATTAAGAGTAAATAATAATTGACTTTTGACACTAGTTGAGTTAATTGATGGACAGGTGTGTTTCTTTGATAAAATGGACATGAAAGAGTTTATAAAGAAATTATACAAATAAAGTTACTGGTAAAGGATTAACAAATCCCGAGGCATTAACACCAAACGAGCGACAATTATTTTGACAGAGTCACAGAGTGTCAATAGAAATTTCTTAATCCTATTTCAAAGGGAATGAGATAAATAAGACACAATTTACTACAAATAAGCACATATTAAAAACAGATAAAGAATTTCACGGATAAACGTCCGAATTTAGTATAAAATATATTAAAAAGTTATTTTAATTCAAAAATGTTCATTTTGCTCGGTGATAATAGTCATGTACTCATTGGCAATTGAAAATTGTTAATTAGTGAAAGACAAACCTATGACCAAGGGGTCACAAATCAAAAAAAAAAGATTGAAAAATAGACTTTTGCTCATCACAACTATATAGACACCTTGTTTATGTACTAAATATACAAGGATAGAGAAAAATATTTTTAAAAAAGATCTGGATTTTCATTATCTGATCCGGCATTAGAGCCCAACCCTTATTGTAGAACCCCTGTTTCTGGGGCCATGAATCTCGCAATTTTGATAGATGGTCAAAAAGCTCATCACAAATCGTGCAAACAGTCTGACTACTTGGTGCTCGGGAGTGATGAAGATTTTCAAAGATTGCATCAATTTTGATGGATTTATCCCAATCCTTCAAGGGGACAGTGAACTCGAAATCCACAATTTTGTTCCCCTCCACACATTGATGCTATATATACCAAAAATTGTTGATATTGGCGAAGTGGTTCAAAAGAGAAAGTAAAAATGACCGACGAACGATCGACGGACTACGCACGACGATCGAAGGCCGAAAACATAAGTTATATAGTACATGTAAAACACGCCGTCGCGCTAACACACAACACGTAATCACGCTAAAACACAACTTGCCGTTGCGCTTGTATAACACTGAACATGCAACATGCACGCTAACACAAGTTCGCACAACACCCTTTCGCGCTAACACACAACACGCTTTCGCGCCAACACTTATCTCTTGTTAGTGTGACATCATGTTGTGTGTATTAGCACAATGGCGTTTTTTTTTCAGAAAGGGCTGTTGAATTTTAACATGTGGCCCATCCGCGGACACCAGAAAATCCGAATAAATTTAAAGTTTTTCTCGGATAAATAAATCACATCTCTCTCTCCGAAAGCGTATCAGTTTCAGTAACATATTCAGAATCAAGTCATTGTGAAACTAGGCAGCAATGAAAAATGTCAACTTTGTCTCCGAAAACTTTAGTTTCAGTAACATACTAGTATTCGGAATCAAGTCATTGAGAAACTAGGCAGCAATGAAAAATGCCAACTTTGTCTCCGAAAACTAAAATTTATGGACTTATTGGATTAAGGAATCGACCCATCCAGAGAGATGAAAGCTATAGTGAAAGCTAGACCGGCAACGAAAGTCAGAAGTTTCCTTGGACTGGTTATTACATGTTGCGGAAGTTCATTCCCAACCTAGCGACATTGTCAGAACCGTTGAGAATTTTAACGAGGAAAAAATCAACCAAATTTACTTGGGGCCCTAAACAAGAACGAGCATCCTCGAAAGCTATGATGTCCGGATAGGGCCATTGCTAAAGCTCAACAGCGCATTCAGAAAACCACACTGTCGCGCTAACAAACAAACCGCTGTACGTCACGCTAACATGAGTTCGCAGAACACCTGGCCTGGGGGCCATAAAACGTAGACGAGCTCACTTTTGATCTTAGTCTCACTTTTCCACCATTAATTCCTTTGATAAAAGTGAGACTAAGATCAAAAGTGGCCAGGTTGCGCACTAACACGCTTTCAAGCAACACGTATGCTGTCGCGCTAACACACAACACGCCGTCTCGAGTTGTGTCTTAGATCGACTGCGTGTTTTGCGATTGCGTGTTAGCGAGATAGTGTGTTGTGTGTTAGCGCGCGTGTTGTGCGAACTCGTGTTAGCGTTACAGCGAGCTGTGTGTTAGCACGACAGCGTGTTCTTCTGAACGCGCTGATGAGCTTTTGGAAACGGTTCTATCCTGACACCATAAAAAGCCAAGACTTTATGATATTTTGCTTCAAAAGCAAGAACTCAAGTGATAGTCGATGCCAGTCCCAGTGAAGGATCAAGGGATCTTGAAAGGGGGGCCGGGGGAGGTTACCAGTCTGGGGTCAGGGTAAGGGCCAACAGCCACAACCCAAAATATTGTTGATTTATTGCGTCTTATGTATGTTTTGGGGGCCTGGGTCCCTTGCCTCCTTTAAATCCGTCAATGTATAAATGGTAAAGAGAACATAAAATGCAGAAAGAATGTCAGAACAGGTGCCCATACTTAAATTCAAGTTTAATTTGACCGAGATAAAAAAGTTAAACATTTATCCAAATACCAACACAATTAACTAAGCTGATTAAATAAAGATAACATCGCAGTGATTGGGGTGAATGTCATTTAATGTACTCTGCAATACGTTTAACCAATAACATATACCATCACTTATACAGGAAACTAAAAGTGTTTACAAGAATAAGCGGAAGTTCTCCTTCAAGAACGATTGAAAAAAATGGAATTTATAAATAAAGTCACATGTCGAGATTCTTAACTTCCTTATCGTCTTCCGAGCGTAAACAATTATAGAGTTGTTGATTAATTACTCTAAAAGTTTTCTTTACATCACTGAATTCCAAACTCCTGTTTACCAACTTTGAAGATCAATTCAACATGGAGGACAAACACACACAGACTGACAGAGATCCGTCCACAGAGAACAGCCTGACAACGAGTGTCCTGATCTTAGATCTTGAGGTACGCCTACTACTAGCATCTTAAACCAAAAGAGACAATGTTCAGCAATTTTATTTCGTTATTTTCCTTACCCATTTTCGTATACTGCCTATCCCCCACCTCCCCCTTCCCCCAACGGATCTTTGTGGTCGTGAAAATCTATGAAACGGAGGATGTGACAGTTGGATGGTAGAGGTACTAACTGTTAATCAGGTACTTGTATAATGTTAATTGAACTGAAATATTGTTTTTTTTTTTATATGATGCATTTTTGAAAGAATGACCTACTTAAGTAACGTCTAAACCGTGACAAATATAGGAAATGACACCAAAAGTTTGTTTTTATTTATTTACACTTTTTAAATATACACATGTATTGAGTTTAGAGAAATTCAAGAAAACTGGAGAGAAAAAAATCCTAGCAAAAAAACTTGTAATTTTACTCGTTATTTAACATTAATCATGCGTAGATGATTTGAAAAATTAAGATATTTGACTATATTAGAACCAAACCAATGCTAAGTAAAAGTCCTTGAGTTGCCAAGACAGTCTCTCTTTAAGACAGATCTGACAGACGGGGAAAACACATCTACCTGGTCCCAGTTTAGATTAATGGCCGTAAAAATTGTGGGCGGGAGGGGGCGTGTCCCCAAAAATTTGCAGATATAGGATACTTTTGATAACATAACTAAATATGCTTGTGCCCCGTAATAAAAATATCCGATGGTCATATTTTTAATTGTCAAGAAATTTCTGGTGGTTGACAGTGCGCCCGACTTAAAACACATGCCCCAGCCACTAAAATTGCTTCCTACCGGCTTATCAAAAGAGGACAAATTTCCTAATATAAATTGTAATAAACTTTTATTATTATAATATTTTCAGCAAAAACTGGCAAATCTGACACACTTTATGTACACGTCCGCTTTAGAGCACCGGCAGAATTATGCAGCCATCAATGGCCAGCTTCACCTTATTAACGAGAGGCTGAGATCATCCGACCATATCACTGCTATCAGAGGAAATGTCTCCAACAGCAATTTAGAGAGAGAGTTGTTACGATGTATTAGCAGAGAAAAGTCCAAAGCCACCGGTATAAATAGCACATTTTTTTAAATTTATATAAATATGAACATGTTCACGGAGATTTCTATTTCAATTTATCAGTTTCTTCTGCGGAACGATACATGGTATGTATATATTTATGTTTTTGATATATCTGTGAATTACCGTTTTATTTTTGTTAGATGATCAAGAGAAGAATGACTTGAGTGGAAGCGAGACTATTCACAGAGAATGTCTGATGGAAAAGATCGAAGAGATGGTAAGAGACATGGATTTGAATAACACACAGCTTATGGACGAATTGCTTGACAACGAATGCTTAACACAAGACGAAGCTTCCGACATTTCACACATCAGCACAAGGAAAGACCAAATACGCAAGCTTATTGTGCTTTTTGCCAAAAGAGGACGAGGAAATTTTGTCAAATTCCTGGAAGTGATTGGAAGAAAGCACCAATATCCTCATATTGCGAGAGAACTAAGAAGAATTTACGACCTGAAAACCTCGGAGGGTAGAAGTTCTGAATGTCTGTTGTGCGTCATCAAACGTGATGTAGATATACGTGACGTTGTAGATCACCTTTGTCGTCATCAAATCATTGACATAGAATTCTTGGACCTTGTCATTTCAGGACAAACTGGGAACCAAAACAGTTTGTGGGAGATAGTGTTTTCTAATATAGATAAATCATCTAACAGAAAACAGAAAATTCAATACCTCCAAGAAGCACTGTCCAAAAAATATGACAAACTGGCGTCGAAGCTAGGTTTTCTTGTCCCAGCTCAACTTGGGAACCATATTTGTTCTAAACCTATCACAAATTTTTCGCAATCATGGCGAAGCACTGGTTCAACTGTGAGCAGTATTGGTGACAGAAGCACAACCTCAGAAGTTCCCAGAAACTTAAACTTAGGAGAACATGCAAAAACTTCTTCATATGACGAGCTTCAGGGTTACACAAGTACCAACATTCCTAAGTGTATAGATTGGTTAAACACACAACCATCGCCAACTACAAGTTCAGATGATGACATAAAATCACCTACTCCTGAAAGTATTGACAGTGGGGTGGAATCTGCTGTAAATGGTAATAGTTTACACACAGAGCAGGAAGAGAAGGTTACTATAGATAACATGGAGGAAGGTTCAGAACATCGATTGTTAAATAAAACTAGTTAATTCCACAATTAAGGAAGTAAGGAAACAGCCGACTGACTTGATCAGACCAAGACTTTTAACGGCATAGACAACCCCTCTGAAGGATATGGCATAATAAGTGTGTGTACCAAAAGGTTGTATCAGCAAAGAGGTCCATTAGCCGTATGTCTCACCTGAAAAGGTTAGCTAGAAAAAAGCGCAAATCAGTTCAGTATTGAAAAATTTACGGAGGGGGAATGGCTTGAATTTTGCACTACCTGAGTATGCTGCCATTTCAAAATAACTAATGTCTTTGCAGATGTTTTCCCCTATATATCCCTAATTAAGACTTCAATCTTCCTATTCAGTATTGTGGTCCACCTCTACCCGGGGCCACGGTTTGAACAAATCTGAATGTACATGTACTTAGTACATGAAAATGTTTCCATATTAATATGACCAAACAGGACTTTGTTGTTCATGAGATGAAGATTTTTAAAGATTTTTTTCTATATACTGGCATTTCCCTCGCAAAACTCGTAAAATCTTGAATCTATCATAGGTAAAGAAGGTTTCCTATACGTAAGTTTAAACGTTTTGGCCTAGTTCTTGAGAAAGAAAATCTTAAAAACATTACACATTTCTGAATAATTTCCCCTCGAAGGATGGTGTGCCCTATTATTTGAATAAAAATCTTTCACTAAAAGATGCTTTGTGGTAAATTGGTTGAATTTACCCAATGGTTCTGAAGAAGAAGTCGAATATGTGGAAGAGTTATACAGATGGACGGACAACTTGAAGTCAAACGGACAGCTAGACAGACGGACTACGGACAAAAATGTGATCAGAAAAGCTCACATGAACTTCCAGCTCAGTCGGGCTTAAAAGGAGGCAAAGACTGAACATGAAAATAACAAATTGATTAATAACCTTAAGTTAAAATACATATGGAAAATTCTGAGAGAGACTTAGGTAAAGAAGAGAGGGTGAAAACTGTCCATTCCATGAAGACCTTGTGAAGACCGTATGCCCAAGCATCGCGGGTTGAAAAAAATGTAAAAGGAGAGCTGTAGAAAGAAGACTGGAATAAATTTAAATTTTAAAAATAACAGATTTCTGTCATCAACTTTGCAGCAAAGGAAAAAGAAACTATTTATATACATGTATGTATTTAATGTTGAGCCATGGGTCAAAAGTATGTACAACTATGACATGTGTAATGTATAATGAATACGTACAGTGATTTCCATGCAAAAAGACATATGTAAACGTACTATTATCTTATACAATATTAAAAATGTACATGTATTCATATTGGGAAATTTGTTATGACATTTTTGTAATATATTGTAATTTATAATCTGTAAATGTTATTCATATTCGTAAACGTGTGATACAAATATGTGAATTCCTGTTATTGAAAAATCATTGATATTCATATTCCAAAACTTGATTTGTATGCAAAAATTTGTGATTTATAAAACTTGCTACTCATATTAAAAAAATCTGTTTATGCGATTGTATCTTGTGATTTATAAGCGAAAGGTTCAAAATCATTTTTGAAAACTTCTGTGTCTGCCAAAAAAAATTATTCATATTAGACGATCATGAATTTATTGAGATATAAACTTGTAATTTACTTCCAAATATTGATATTCATATTCGAAAACTTCATTTATACTAAATTAAAACTTAATCCTCTTCGTGCTTGGAGCACATAAGGCCAGCACCGAGGACCTCCATCTCTGTCTATTTGCTGACATTGACTGTATCATGCCCCAAGTCCATCCCTGTTCTTTCTTTTCTTTTTCAACTGATCGTCACCACCTCTCCTCTGGTAACCCTCTTTCCTGATGGAGTCCATCTTAAGGCTACCCTCGGTATATCTGATGATTTCATTCTCATCACATGGCCAATCTATTTTTATCGTCTCTTTTTAATCCGGTCAGATATAACAATTGTGTGCGTTCGTACATACAATTCCTCATTAATGATCTTGTTTGGCCAGAATATCTGGATTATAAAAATTTCAATTACTCTGTATTTTGGGGCATAAGTGTTTTACAAACATTTCTTGTTAAAGTGATATATTAGTAAGTATGTACATGTAATTAAAAAGGGAAAAAGAAAATAGGAAAGTAGACAAACTAGTTTTGAAAATTAATCGAGAAAAAATAAATATACACGTAAATAAGTTCTAGTCAGGGAGAAACTTAATTCTAAGTCGGTTCTCTGTTTCTCGATATCACCGGGATTAAATTAAGGATTCTCGTGAAACTTGGTGGTTCATTATCCTCCAATGTCCAGTTTGGCCCTTAATTGAAATTTTACTCCGTGATTTTAAAATCAAGAAAGGTATTTATTTCCAATTTCAAAGGCTTGTTTCCAGGCTAAATAAGCCTTTTTTCATATTCTAAAAATAAATTATCACCTATATCCTGCATCATTTTTACTAAATGTTTAAGAGACAGAACTAGACTCATAGCAACAATTATTAAATGAAATCCGACTTTTGGATATCACTGACAGCTGCATTTTTCAATAAAAATGGAACTGGGAAATTTACTTCCTTTGTTATTAATTGGTCATTTGCAAAATTGTTGTGTTAAAAAACATTCTAATTGTTATCACCTTAACTCTTTCCATGAACAAACAAAACAAAGGCATAGAAATCTTGTAAAAAACATAAGAATTTATTTTAATATAATTGAAATGTTGTAATGTAACTTCATAAATATTAATTGATGATCTGGCAGGAAACTCTTCAATAAATGCAAAATGTGGTCCATCATGGCATAATCTGTGAACACAGTTTATTGAAAGACTTCTTTGGTGTATAGTCTATAAAGGAAGGCCTTGGAAATCAGTGGAAAAAACGGGAGAAAAATCCTGCAGATCTCTTCTTCTGTCCATTTTCTTTCTTCTACAAATAAAAAAAAAAAACAATAAATAAATGTAATGTCTTTAAGTCATGCTAAGAATTTACTTAAGTATTCATACAGAAAATATACATTTGCAAAGTGATAGAGACTATACAATTTTCACTCCTCCTAAATATAACTTAGTATATCTAAGAAGTAATAATACATTTTTTTGAAATCTCTTTGTTGTTAGCAAGAATTCGTAATACAAGCATGTTCAGTATAACAGTGTTTAACTGTATATGATAAATATCTCTGACTAGCCTTTAAGTATACGTATATTTATTAAAATTTTGATTAAAACATGTGAATGGGGTTTATTCATGTTGCACTGTATTATAAATATTATGGTTGATAAATATGTACATCAAATTTACTTACATTTCTGCATAGCAACTTGAACGACAAATTCCATTTACTGCCTTTCTTGCAAATCTGTGAAAACAATACATAAATCATATTTAAAATAATTATTCTTGAATAAATTGTAAATTGTTGTTACAAGAAAATGCGTAATCTAAGATGCTAAATTGAGCATGGAATAATTAAGAAATAACCATTACAATAAAGTTATATGTTAGTTTAAAAAAAGTATAAGTTGAGTGCAACAATTTTTTAAAGAGTTAGAAGTACTAGAATATAAAAGTACTTAGGAAACATACCTGATCGGTCTGTTGTTTTGTATCTATAAGACTTGTCTCATTTTCTGGTCCACTTGTACATCCATCTGTAGCCAGCTCAGTTGTGATACTCTTGGAGCAGATTTCCACCAGTGACAAGGGGTTCTAAAAAGAAGCATTCCAGGGTTTTAGGTTTCTGTCATTAGCATTTCCTTCAACAGGTACCCTTCAGGTTTTAAAATAATCTCAGTTGCATTTGCTTGTGTTCAAAAATTCGGTTTAATGGGAAGTGTTAAAATAATCCGTACCTGTGTCATTAAGACCTCCTTAAAACGTATTGATGGTAGTAGCATTAGTTTGATATACGGATTCAGTTCTTCATTCTGAAAAAAAAAAAAGAATGAGATACGTCAATTGTATAATTTCTTTTTGATGCCCTGCTTTAATAACATCTTTGTTCTTTCTAATTTCAAATTTGATTTTAAACATAAAATAGCAAATGTTTAGGACATCTACTCACTTCTAACTCCATGTTGTCTTTTACAGGAGAATTGGCTCTGGATTCCTTACCCTCTTCATAATGTTCCTCCTAGTAAAAATATTAAAATCAGTTTAGAAACTCAGATTCATATTTTATAACCATTTCAAAAATCAGTCCTTATACAACGGGGATTAAAACTTTTAAATTGATGTCAACATTACAAAAAAAAAAAGTTTTATTATAACTTAAAAACGGTAATTTAATTTGCAAGAAAAATTATAACATCCAGTAACTTACAATCACTGTGTCGAATCCTGGTTTATAATCACTTCCTTTCCGCCATTCATTCTTGAAGCACGAGTGAATGAAATGATCTCCAACAAATGGCTGAAATATAGATTTACCCAATCGATTATATAACTTTGATAAAGAAGGAAAACTAATATTCACTTTTTGATTAAATATTCAACTTCTTTTTCGTAAAATTGTAAGGATGTAGGCGCGGATCTAGAAGGGGGCGGGGTCATGACCCCCCTCCCATGAAATTTGTTATTAAATGTATTAAAAAAAAGAACAGGAGCTCTTACTTCGAGGCATGGTAATTGTCGCCCTAACCAGCTGAGGTACTCCTCTCCGGTAGAAAATTCTGGTTTGATGTCTTCGTCATCAATTTCTGCAGCTATCTGTTCCATAGATTCTTCTTCCTAGAGAAAATTTTCAAAACGTAATGTCAATTCGACAATAGTTTTATGAGAAGTCAATGGAAGGAACATCAAATTAAAGTTATATTTCATTTTTTGAATTAGAGCATGATTGAAATGACTCACAAATAAAGTTTCAAGCCATGGTGTGTAGCTGAAATCGTCCCGACTCCATTGACGGAAGAAATAATGATGAACCTCAAATTCTGGTAAAAATGGCTAAAAAGAAAGAAGAAAAAAAAAAGTCTTAAAATCCAAAATTAAATAATAAAATGATCATTCACAATGTATTAATATTATCGGAAGTACAACAATCACTTTTTCATGATAATAATATCAATTCTGCTGAATTTTGCATTTGATTATTTTTCTTTGTTACTTACTTCCAGATAAGAAAGTCTTCCCTCCACCCAGTTCAGGAATTCTAATCCACTAGAAAATTCTGGTGTAGTGTCCTCTTCGCGTATTATTGTGTACAAATCTTCCTCTGCTTCTTCCTTAAAAAAAAAAAATATGAACGGTGATATGATATAAATTAATACCGTTGTTTTGCAAAGTATTGAAGATGTATTATCAAATTTGTTTGTACAGTCAAATACGTAATTCTGGTGCGATCGTACACCGACCTACATTATACTTGTAGTTTACAGCTAAAAAAAAATAATCAAAATTGTTAAAATTTAAGGAAAAAAATCTTCAAAGCGCTATTAACATTTCTTTTTCCCAAAAAGTTACTTGAGAAATAAATATATATAAAAATGTTTTTCTAAACCAGACATGAGGTCCACCATATATCTGTTATGATATAATAGCGTTATTTTGTTAAAGAGTTCTTTTGTTGAGTAAATAAAGTAATCTACAAATTTTACTAGATAGCATTAAAAGAGATCATTCAAGTTATCTACCGCTCACTACATGTACGTGATTTATTGCCAAACACATTACATTATTTCGCCGTTCAACAAGTTTCCAAAAATTAAGTGAAATTATCACCCTATAAAAATCCTAAAAGCTGCATTTCGCCCTTTGTCTGACTACTTTTTCTTACCTTAATTGTGTCCAAGTCCTCTGCATATTCTTTGATCCTCCACAGCTCTCTTGCTATGGTTGCATCGTCCGGTAGATAAATCTGAAAATTATTAGACTTATTTATCGAAATAACGAACTTGAATTGTAATTTGTTATGAAAGTAAAATTATGAAATTGCACCATACAGTCGTGTTAAAAAACAAAAACAAAAACAAAAAAAGAATACCTTTAAGATATTTTCTGGTATGTCCGAGAAATTGCCTCTGCTCAAGTTGTTTTGGGAGATTTTAGCAATATCTTTCCTTATTTCCTAAAAAAAAAAAAAGTTTATGTCAATTTAATATGGAGAATGCCAAAATTAAACAGTTTGTGAAATCAGAAATATATATTCATACCAAATTATTCCAAAAAACAGAAAAGTATAGCTACCTCTCTTCTACGCTCCTCTTTGAGTTCCAGTTCCTTCTTGAATTCAGTAATACTGTTTGGAACAGCCGCCTAAAATCAAAGGGCTATGATAAGTACGATTATCATTTTGTACATTCAACCTTCGCTAAAAAAACAAAAAAACCCACACATTTTCGCTCAAGAATTAATAGGGGAGGGGGCTTCGAAAATTTTTGACTTACTTTCATCTGCATCTGGTTCAGCCTATTATTCAAGCTCATCATAAATTCTTCACCATTTCTGTATTTTGTTTCTTCTCTCACATCCTAAAAGGAAGAAATAATTGTGAAATTTTATACACTGTATGTGTAGTATTTAAATCTTTTTTTTGGATTATATTATTTTGCAAACTAAATGTTTAAGTTACCATCGTGTTTGCTTTAGCCAAGTTGTCTGCTTTGTTGTCTTTCATCAAAGCGATTATGACGTCATAGTACAAAGCTCCCATCATAGAAACGCTAAAACCCTTCGGTTTCCAAACCCGATTAAATTTTTTTTTTATATTGTTGTTGAAAAAATTTTCTTTCATATTTATAGAGGTAAAAAATCAATATTTCTCATAAAATATTGTTTAAAAAATATTTTTTTCTTGTTAAAGCAATTTAAATTTCTCATTGCTTTCTACATAAAGTATATAAATTGTCAATTAGTTTTAATTTATGAAATAAATATTCATAGGCTTTAAAGTTTTAAGAAATATTGTTTAAAAGATGGTGGTGGAATATTACTTACCATTGTCTTCATTTGAATTTCAAAATACTAATGAATCTTTACAATCGGCTTTGCTTTGTTGTTCATAAACAACAAATCTTCGTTCTTGCATTGGAAGCAATTGTGACGTCACAATAAGCAACGTCATCGTGCTTTATTCAAACCCGATGGAAAATAATAATTTTGTGGCCGTGACGTAAAATAAATATATGTGCAAGTATATAGCGAAAAGAGGGAAAAGAAAAGAGGAAATAGCACAATTCGACAAATATTAATAGTTTATATAGAACATACAGTTTTGAAAATTTCTTCAATAATAGAAAAAAGACAAAATTGAAACAGGTAGCCTAATGCCCCTCCAATTAGAACACAACCCCTCAGATCTCCAATAGGAAGAAAAGAGAAGTAAAGAAAATGCTTGATAATGGCATAATCGAGCCTTCTAGGAGTGCTTGGTCCATTTTTATAAAATCTTCATAACAAGAGGTCAGTAGGCCACACCACTCACCTGAGCACACGGGCTAGTTAAAAAAACCCCACAAATCAGCTCAGTATTGAGAAGTTTAATTGGGGGGGGGGGAAATTTTCTACTACTTGGGAATGTCACTATATCAATAAAGCATACATGTATAACTTTGTCATTCTTGAAAAGAAGCTTTTTAAAGATTTTTCCTACATATTACTTTAAAAAATTGATCTCCTGTTGTGACCCCTCCCCCTCTATGTAAAAACTTTGAACCTTCATCGTGGCCACATCCTAACCTTGGGGGTCATATGATTTGAACAATCTAGAATCTAAACTACCTAAGGATGCTTCCCTTAGTTCCATATAAAAAAAAATCACTAATCACGGATTTGCTGTTATCCAGAAAATTGAAAAGCTATATTAGGATATATTCTTATGTAAAAATGATCCCACATTGTGTCCCCTACCACAAGGAATTCTGATTTGAACAATCTTGAATGTACACTACCTGAGGATGTTTCCATATAAATATCACCTATCGTGGCTTTGCTGTTCTTGAGAATATTTTTATAACATTTCCTGTATATTTCTATGTAAAGCTTTGATTGCCCATTATGACCACACCCTTCACCCAGGGGTCATGATATGAACAAACCTAAATTCACTCTACAACTGAGGATGCTTCTATAATAGTATTACAACTCATGGCTGTGCTAATCTTGAAAAGATTTTTCCTATATGCAAAGCTCCAATGTGGCCCTACCCTATTCCAGGGGGTAGTGATTTGAACAAACTTGAATCTACTTCACCTGAGAATATTTCGACATGAGTTTCATCTTTCCTTGCCCAATGATTCTGGAGTCAGAGAAAGTATATAAAAATAATCAGGATGCTTCTACATGAGTTTCATCTTCCCTGGACCAGTGGTTCTTGAAAAGAAGATTTTTAAAGGATGCCATTAATTTTTCATTAATTCATAATTATCTCCCCTTGGAAGAGGGTGTCGCCCTTCATTTGAACAACCCTTGAATTCCCTTCACCCAGGAATACTTTGTGCCACGTTTGGTTGAAATTGGCTCTGTGGTTTCGGCCTTTGGCTCAGGTGAGCTAAAAAGTGGGTCAAACTCTAAGGCCAAGGTCAAAAATATTGACCCAATGAAAGGTCTTGTCACAATGAAAACTCAATGTAGAGTGTGAAAGCCCTAGCACTAACTGTTCTTGACCTATGGCCAAGGTTAAGGCTTGATTTTTTTTTGTAAAAGTTTGTCAAACTTCATGGACAAGTTCAATTTTGGTGGTATCTGAAGAAAGGTTTTGTCCCAAGAAATCCTGTGAAATATGAAAGCCACAGCCTCATCCATTTAGAAGTTATTGGGAAGGTTAAAATTTTTGTGGACAAACAGGGCAAATACTATATATATATATATACCTGAACTTTTAGGTCATAGTAAATATGTTGATTCAATCCTTGGTATGATTATAAAGCTGTGACAAGTCATTTGCAAATTTTATGCAATAAGCTCCCATTCCACGTCTTTCAGTAAATTAGAACATCTATGATATAATGTCATTCTGCTGTCATAATACTTAACATTTTAAAATACCATATTCTATGATCTGATCATAATGGATAACAAAATCAATGTTATTCATATTTTATTATGTAGGTAAAAGACTGAACATGGCAACAATCTGGATTCATTATATAAGAAACTAGATGTAGTAAAATCATGTCCATAATTTTGGTGGTTTGACATGGTTTTTTCCAAATGAAATATGGCTCCTGTCTCGACCTACAATTCGAAAAAATGGAACCTTTTTAATGAAATCTACATAAATTTTAATTGTTTATACAGCTTTTATTACATAAGGTAATGACTTGAGTGATGACATGATTGAAATTCTGTGAAAATGTCGATTGAATAGCAAAATTTTTCAAATAAATTCACTATAATCATGAATTATACAGTTATACCTGATTACGGAGATTTTTCTGCTGAGGAGCGGCTTTCTTTCTCTTTTGATGAGGACCTGGAGGAACCATTTTTCTTCCTTTCTCTGCTTTGGCTCCTCTTGCTGTGTGATCTTGACCTTGAACGGCGGCGACGTTTGTGACGGGATCGACTCCTTGATTTTCTAGACCTGCTCCTTGACCTACTTCTGGATCGCCTGAAATGACAAAGGATATTTCTTCTGAAATTTATCAATAAATTCCACAGTGATTAATTAAATTTCTGAATAGAGTAAGCAAATTTTACTCAGGCTAGCTATAAATGGATATTCTCCCTCATAATGAACACTAATTTTCAGTCGGTAACTGATAATGAGAGGTTCATAGGTCACAACGCTCAATATAATCACTAGAGCCTTCCTGTTCTTCAGCAGAATATGAATCTCTTGTAAAAACTAATCTTCAATGCTATTGCAGTCCCATCCTACCTCTGGGAGTCATGAGTTGGAACAAATATGAATCTTTACTTCCTCAGGATGCTTCCATACATAAACCAAGAATCTGATTTCAGTTCCTATATATTCTTTATCAAAAATTTGATGGCGTTTTGTGGCCCCACCCTACCCCTGGGGTTCATGATCTGAACAAACATAAATTTACATTATGTAATAATGAGGCCTTCACATAAATGTAAACTTTTCTGATCCATTGATTCTTGAGAAGAAGATTTTTTGAAAGATACCATTAAACTTTCATCAATTTTTAACAATATTCTCTTGAAACTCAAGGATATAAAATGCAAAGTTCAGTTGAAGATGTTAATGTGGTTCTCGAGAAGGTAAAATTGGGAAAAGTTGACAACAATTCCAATGACATGACTTTCAATGGACACATTTTATTCAGAAAAGCTCATTAATTCTTGGGCTCAGGTTAGCTTAAGTAGACTGGTAGATTGTTCTCTCTCCAAATCAGTTAAGTTGTAGTATATACCTGGACCTTCTTCTTGATCTGGATCTGGATCTCCTGCTACGTGACCTAGATCTTGACCTTTTGGATCGTTTTCTTGAGTGGCGACTTCTGGATCGAGATCTGGATCTACAGAAAGAGAAAAATAAAACTTATTCAATTCTTATAAACAGTAATAATCCTTTTCTTTTCAAATGATCACTGTGGTAAACCATTCTGTACCTTCGACTCCTGCTGCGTGACCTTCGTTTTCTGTCTCTACTGCGACTTCTAGTTCTTTTACGACTGCGACTCCTGCTGCGTGCTTGGTTTAGTCTGGCCTCCTCTTCTGCTTTTTCTCTCTCAGCTCGCTTCAGCTTCTGTTCCTCTCTTTCCTTTTCTCTTTGCATTCTCCGATCAGCAATGCTTTTCTGTTTATTAAAAAGACAGGATATAAATACTTTTTAAAATTTGACAAATCAAGAAATCAAAAAAGTTCAAAGGAGCTAACCTTTAATTCTTCTAGCTTTTCTCTAATTGTGATGAAACCAAGGTGAAGTTTTCCACCGAAGTGATCAGCTAGACGTCTATCGTTATCATGGATTCCCAGGTATGCTGAGCACACCTCACAAACCCGCAGTTTTTGCTGCTGGTAACTGGATGCTGGCATAGAATTTCTGTATTCTTGCTGAAAATCAAATAATTCACAAATATTAACAGGAAATAGGAAAAAGACACAGACTTCTTCTCTTTATGAACATTGATTTCAATATATACCTCTGCAGCAGCCTTTTGCTTCTTTAAATTTTCCACTTCTTCCATCAGTTGCAATGACTCCACCACTAACCCCTCTGCACCAAGATCCTCTGCTTTGGCAAGTTTCGTCCCCATTTCTTCCCCTAACTTGTGAATCATCTCTGCCTGAAAATGAAAATCATTCATTATTTAACTGCAACACAATAACATACTAGATTGTTCTTACTTTATATATGGACATCCTAACTTTTATATGTGGGTGAAGCTCATTATTTTACAGATAGATCTCTTCCATTTACAATGCCTGTTTACTTATAATATGCTTATTTCAATTCATTAAACTCAACAAACATTTTTGTGTATATAAGTCAATCAGATGTTTATCAATCTAAAAGTAAGAATTCAAATTTCTATACTACTTTTCCATTGGCCTCCTCGCTCAGCTCTTCCTGTGTTTCTTTGAGGCGACGTTTTGCCAACTCTGTTTTCCTGTCACAATCAGCTATAAAACTGGACAGATGCTCCATTGCCTAAAATTGCAGATATAACATGAAATTCCTTTATAAAATGCATTTAATAGTTCCTAAATCAATAATATTTCGTTTAATGAAAATGTCATCTCCATTAAAATAAGACTTACATCAATGTCATAGTAGTAATCCTTCCTTCTAGAAGCCTGTTCGTAGTCTGCACGCAGTGCCAAATCATGGATTTTGGGACATTCTCCTAGGTCCATTCGCTGCAAGAACAGGGCATCTCGCAATAAAATCTTCATACTTAACGTGAGCGCATCAACACATAAACTACAATCCAGGGTGAAGCATGTTTATTCTCATGGATAAATTAACATTAATCCTGTGCAAGTGACAACTTACATGATCTTGGACTCAGATGCTCATCAAGTCACTTTACTTACCTTGGAGCAAATGTAACAAAACTTTTAAGATTCACATTTCCCCAAATAAATTTAACAAACCACATTTTTTTCACATATAATTTACGTAATTTTTTTCCTCAATAAAATTTCAATAATTTTTTCTTTCTTCTAATTCAATTCAATAATTTTGTTTTTACATAATTTTTTTTTTTTAATTTACAGCAATACATACCAAAAAACGGTCTGACAGAATTTGGGGGGAGAGGCAGAGTTAAGTTAATGTGTACGTACCGTGCTGGACAGAATATCATGTGGACAGCATCCCAGCAGGAAACTCTTACATACCCGAGCGTCATCAAACTTCACCTTGTATTTGCTGTTCTCGCCTAAAATTGTTAGTCACATAGAATCAACAAGAGATCAAAATACTCACAAGCCCGCACCTGTAAAATCTTAATACACACAGTTTAAGAGTTCCCTTTCTCCTCTGGCAGCCTTCATCGTTTCTAGAACAAAATTTGGACATTTTGACGAAACAAAGAGAAATGGGCCATCTTTGGAAGAAAGCAAAGAAAAAGGGCAATTAAGAATCACAGATTTCATTACATACACACTGCGCTAGCTGTCAGATGTATCCTGCTTATGCCCAGCCCCCATATCTTCTATTATATGTACCTGTAAAGTAAACTAGTCTCATGGCTTCTACAGTTCATTTACTATAACCAAAGACTGCTTACCATCCAATGCTTTCTAACCAACTTTTTCTCAAGTCTTACTTTAATTGTATCTTGTTCCTCTTGAGTCAAGAAATAACTTTACCTTCATATGCATTTAAATATGAATTAACCTACAGTGATAAACATGAATGAAATAAGATCTATTGCAAACTCACGAATTGGCCTTCATCACCTTTCAAATTTGACTGGATTACAGCACAAGAAAAAGCTCCCTTAAAAATAGGGATAAAATCATAAGTATGGAAGTCTTCACAAGAATCATACATAAAACTTGAACTAATCAATATAAAAGAAACAAATATATAGATCTATATCATATACAAACACATTTTTTTTGTTTTGAAATTAGCTGTAAATATTTTTTCTTCCTTTTCATATGTGCTTTTATACTCTTAATATCAAAGATGTCCAATTATGCAAAGCATTCTAGACAGAAGTGAAAAAATCAATGTTTAAAATATATTTTCATAAAACCTGAAAACTTGTAGTGAAAAATATAAACTAGAGACCCTTGTAATGTGTACTTTTAACTTTAAGTAAACTACCTAGCACTGAGAAAGACCTTGTAAAATTTAAATAATGGGGCATCGTCCTACACTGACCAGAGGGTTTACAGTTACATATGATGTCCTTCTCTTAATCAATACTAAGATGTTTTAAAAAAAATCAAGGACATTTTTTCACCTTCAACGTACTGCAGTCAACTTTTTATCTATAGTCCATGCTTAAACCATGTCCACTTACTGAACCTTATCTAAGCAGTCAAGGCTTCAGTTCAAACAATCTTATTTAACTTTATTTTACCTGTACCAATTTAATTTTTATTCTCCAAAATGTTCATAATGTAAACCTTTATACTAAAATTACACTTTCATGCATGAATGTTTCTTAGTGAAATTCAAAGTTATATGCATGTTAGCAGAATGTACATGTATTGATCACACATCTGCTGCAAAATCATGTCTCTGAAAAAGTACAAAAATGTTAATATGTTTTACATGCAGTTTGCATCATTATCAATAGTTATGGTCTGAAATTACATTACTCTATGAAGACTGTATTTAATACAGTATCCCAAATACCTTCATTATTCTCCCTTGCTAAAGTGTATGAAGTCATATATGGGAATATTTTGGTGTTTTTATTTCATCTGTATATTTTTTCATTTTGATGTAACGATTAATGCTACTTTAAATATTAGGCCCAATGCTTCTTGAATATTTTTTCCTCTTGAAACCGACCCTGTTCCAAGAACTAAATGAAATGGCATTATGGGGTTTTGTTCAGACAGTACATTAAAATTGACTATGGTACATTCTTGCACTTTAAAATGGTGTACAAGATAATAAGAAAATTTTCAACGAATATTGTATACATATTGTAAATTCCACAAAGTTTCTCCGATGATCAAAACATTATTATAATCCAGTTATTTCCTTACCATCCCTGGCAGTCCCCATCAGCTCATCTAGCATCGCTCTCATCTGCTCTTGAGCCGACATCTTAGTTTTGTGTTTTGCTCTTTAAATATTACATACAATTGGGTTTAATGAACAGTGATTAAACAAAAACTATCAAATATAATCGTTTACATGATTTCTTCGTTCCAAGATGGCGGAAAGATTTTTGCGTATGCTAGAAGCGACCTCTATCGTGAAACAAAGTAACTCGTTCATAGTTTTACTGCATTTTTGCATTAAAATAATGCAACACAACCAACATACTAGTATGTTAAACAAGATATTGTCAATAATCTTTCTTAAATCCACTTTTATATTACTACTAAAATACCACAGAAATCAGTAATATTTTTTTTTATATATGTGATTGTTTTACAAAAATATGTTGGATTTATATGCCTAAATTATTTTTATTAAAAATCTTTTTTTTAAAATTTTTTTTGCCTTTTTTTCCACCGGCACTAGATTGTTCAGCACTGAATAACTTTTATATTACTAACATATGTTTTGTTAAAATCGTTTTAGCTGACACAATAAAGAAGATCAAAGGTCAATATCATTATTAGAAATTTCTAGAAAATTGTTTTTAAATTAAAGAAGCAGACAAAGTTGATATATCAATTTTAGGATCTGAATTGATAATTAAAATAGGCCTAAATTATATATACTAAACTAACAGTGTAACATTAATTTTAACCTTTTAAATTAAGCAGTTGATATAAAAACACATTCATAAAGTGATCCATTCAAACAAGATCTTTCAATATTTAACCGAAAAAAAGATGCCACCAATTTAAAATAAGATATTGTTACCGAAACGCCTTTGCGACATGTCCGCCACAAGCAAGCCAATACTAAACATTGAGAAATTTTGTTTTTTAAAATGATAATACAGTAGAATTTATAAAATTCAGACTTGATTCAATTTTTCCATTTATTCAATTAGGTTATAATGTTCCTGCTAAGAATTCATCAAAAGTTGATCAATTCAAACTAAAACATGCATACATTACCCAATTTTAAAAAGTTATTAATGATTTGCATGTAAAATAAAAAAAAAAAACGCTAAAAATTTTACGTTTCCAAATATAGAAGTCTGTAATTATGCTTTCAAATTCAGAGAGAGAGAGAGAGAGAGAGAGAGCAACTTTCTTACACTGATATTTATTAACCTAAGTTCATCGTTACCATTATTCAAGTTTTCATTAAATGCTGTAGATTTTTTTTTAAATCTTGCAATCCATAGAATTGTGTGTTAGGGAGGGTGTGTGTGAGTGTAGGGGGAGGGGGGGGGGTAATCAAATTCAGCACCTTGACACAGGTAAACGCTGAGATACACATTTACATATAAACAGTATCACTAAGTAGCTTTTCAAGGCCGAACTATGCAACCCTGAACGACATGTGAAGTATATTTAAAAAATAATAACATATCGATCGTTTCCCATGAGTAATGCAGAAGCGGCACCCTGTCTTATTGGTAAACAGGACACGCGATGTAAACATGTAAGAACCATTCCGATTGGCTACGGTAAAATGGGGCCATATCAGGCGCTCGTGTCAAGCGAGGTGAAAACCGCGAAGTTTTGTATAAAAACATTATTTTTGTCATCATACGAGGAGATTTGCATTGGTGAGGATTCCACAGAGCTCTGTGATATTCGAAAATAAAGTAAGATATTTAAAGCATGCATGTTTAACATCAATGTAAACTTTTAATCATTTTGTATTTTATGAATTATGTTTATAATTTATATTTATTAATTAAAATTATTTTAAATCGTGAAATCAGTTTTCTGAATTAATTAATTTCAGAGGTTTCAAATATGACATTTTTTACCCAAAATAAATTATGTCAATTTTTCCTTGATTTAATTGATTTTGAATAAAATTTTGCTGTAATTGCAATTCATTTTACTTTTTACTTTGATGCACCATTTTGTTAGATTTGGTATAATTGATTTTTTACCTCAAAGCTTTTTCTAGATCAGAGTCATTATAGTGCTGTGATTTTGTGAATGCATATAATTTAGACATTGATAAATATGAATTTTAAACTGCAATTTGATAACAATGACATACTAGAATAAACATTTATGAAATAAAATGTAAATTAAAACAACCAATTTTTTTTTCAATCTCAGATTAGAAGATGCCAGCAAGGATTCTAGACGACCCGATTCCAGCAACTGATTTCCCCGCTGAACTCTTGAATGAAGCGGAGTTTGACCCGCCGGTCGTTGAGAGGCGGGCGTGTGAACTTGTCATCAGCGGAATATCGTGTCGGCTACCGGAGTCTGAGAATGTAAAGGAATTCGAAGAACACCTATTGAATGGGGATGACATGGTAACAGAAGATGACAGGAGATGGCCACCAGGTATTATATTATTATAAGGCTTACTTTCAGTGTATTAAAAAAAGGGGGTGGGGGGTGTGGTTAACAATTCGAATGTTCACACGAGCACAACTTTTTGAAATAAAATGAGAGGGACTGAAAGGAATTTCTTCTGCACAACGCATCGTTTTATTTTCTAAAAAAGCCCACTGACTTAATTTTCTTCACTTAACATTATTTTAAACGCTTGACTTTTGTAATTATATTTATCAGGAGAAAATTTTATGCGAAACTTTTGCATATAATGCGAAACTTTTCTGTTTTAACGCGTGTATAGGGAAACATCCACGATATCTTAATTTATTTATTTATTGAAAAAAAAAATTCCTTCTAGAAATGCCATTGCGCCTTCAGGCAAACATAGATGGATGTTTTGACTAATTTTATTAATTCACAATTAAACTAGGCCTTATCATGTCGTTCACCAACACAGGTGTCAGTATAAATATGTAATATTTGCTAAGAAATTTAAACTTTTTATCGTTTGCTACAGGTATGTACGGATTACCGAAAAGATGTGGAAAACTGAAGACACTGGACAAATTTGATGCCACTTTCTTTGGGGTTCATCCAAAACAAGCCAACAACATGGATCCACAATTACGTATGCTGCTGGAGGTGACCTATGAAGCCATCATTGATTCTGGTAATAAAATAAATGACAGGTGTTTCAATTTGTTAATAGAAAAGTTTTGTGGAAAAGTTAGTTGAATATGTTAACAAAATATGATAATAGATAAACAAAGTCTTTAATATGATCGACCTCTAAGTTTGTCACCGGGAGACAGATGGCAGGATATGTTAACAAAATATGATAAAAGATAAACAAAGTATTTAATATGATCGGCCTGTAAGTTTGTCATCGAGTGACAGATGGCGGGAAAACAGCGCAGGGGTCTTGAAAGTATGTCAGTAATATTTAAATCTTTACTTATATTATTTTTTTTCTTGCTCATAAGACAGAATTGTGACCTTAAATTAAAATGTGCTTACTATAGGAAACTGCGGCTGAAATAATGAGTTACATCAGACGTTCTATTTACGTCTCTTGTTACATAAATCAAGGTTATATGTTAATAAAGACCATCCATCGTCGCAAACCACGGTTTTTGAGTCCGCAATCTTCCTCAAACGTGATGATAGAGAGAATCGACTTGAATCACCCGTGGGTTACCGACGATGATGACCATCTAGCTACAATGATGGAACCCTGTCCGATTTTTTTTTTCTGAATTTTTTTTTCTTTGGGGTGGTGGGGGTGGTGGAGGGTATTACATTATTGCAGCTACTGATCATCTAAATCTGTCGTCTGTTAGCGCGCTGATTCAAAGAATCTCAAGAGTCAAACTTGTATAGCAAAATAAAACTTAATAATGGGTTAGATATCACAGTTGTTTGGTTAAAATCCTATAGAATGATGATACATCTCGTTAAAATGATTTAAAATAGTCTAATCTCATCATATCTAGGAATTACGGATTTATTTAATTATTCAATAATAACAATATTGTCAATGATTCGTTACGTGCTTGAAAATGACATGATATAGATCTATTTAAAGAAAAAGATTTAATGTATGAAAAATTTATAGAAAAAATTTCTAACAATTTTCAAGGTACGAACCCTTCCAGTATCAGGGGATCTAAGACTGGCGTGTTTATTGGGGCCAGTGCGTCAGAGGCTCATGACGCGTGGGCGACGGACCCCCAGAAAACCGTGGGGTACAGCATGACAGGGTGTACTCGATCCATGTTCGCCAACAGACTGTCTTATTTCTTTGACTTTAAAGGTGAAATCACTTGTTAAGACCACATTTCCTACTATAACAATTGATTAATTTTCTTCTTATAACAATGAAATAAAATCCTTCTGAGGAATTTCTTTTTTTTTCTCTGAAAAAAGTTTAATATTCTTTTAAACGTTGTATGTTATTGTTTTATTTTCACGAAATTTTTAATACCATATAAATATACCTATATCATTTTTACTGGATGTTTAACTTGATGAAATTCCAGGTCCTAGTTTTGCCCTTGACACTGCTTGTTCCTCCAGCCTTCTGGCCCTGGATCAAGCGGTGAACAGCATTCGTCAGGGGCACTGTGATGCTGCCATCGTGGGAGGGTGCAGTGCCTGTCTGAAGCCTCTCACTGCCCTACAGTTTCTGAAGCTCGGGATGCTTTCCCCTGACGGAACCTGCAAATCATTTGATGCTAGTGGTAAGAATTAAAATGTCTACATTTTTTAACAATTCTAGAAATATCTAAGGTTCTGAATAACCTTTAAATGCAAATATTTGGAAAGAAAAATTGGTGTAAAGTTTGGATTCAAAAGTATGACACTAACACCTTAATGCAGGAAATGGCTATTGTCGAAGTGAGGGAATTGTAGCCGTGTACCTTCAAATGAAGCCCGATGCCAAGAGGATTTACAGCACTGTGGTCCACACAAAGACAAACTCAGATGGACACAAAGAACAGGGAATCACTTTCCCATCAGGAGAGATCCAGAAAAGACTGCTGTATGACGTGTATGAGGAGGCCGGGGTGGCCCCCAATAAAGTGGTGTATGTGGAAGCTCACGGGACAGGGACCAAGGCAGGTGACCCCCAGGAGGTCAACTCTATCGTGGACGTGTTCTGCAAGGACAGAGAAGGACCACTACCCATAGGGTCTGTAAAGTCCAACATGGGTCATGCTGAACCTGCCTCTGGTATGTGTATTGTTAACCTAGTATCATAGACAAACTCCAGAACTGCTTGCTCAGTTCTCATTTTCAGATACTAGTATAT